TATTGAATCTTTTTATTTTGCAAATTATAATTTATACGTTTTTATTTATATATCGTTTACGAAATATAACAAAATGTAGTATAATATTATTCTTTAATAAAATTTATCAGTGCATTGTCTATCAAAGTACTATCTCAAGGATTAAACCTAGGCTTTCCGATGTATTGTTTTGATGTTCAGTCCTCATTGACAAATGCACTAGACAAATTTGTAAACATAATTAATTACTAAAGTATTGTTTTAAGTGTCTATAGTGCTTGTATTTATTGTTGTGTTCACCTAGTTATATATTATAATAAGTAAATAATATAATTTCGGGTGGTATACTAGATGTTACTAATAAGGAAATTCAACTATGTATAGGTATAAAATATTTGGATGCGATTAAATTAGGTTGTCTCGTGTTGAGAAGTTCGGAGGTTCAATTCGGAATCTTAATATTAATGAGATTACGACTTATTATATTTTCTGCAGGTGTATAAAAACATTTTAATCTTGGAGAAACTTCCTAGTCATTACCGTCTGAGTTAAGTCTACCGAGACTTAACGTTTGCTAGGAGAATGGTATTTTATTCTTTCACTTTAGGAAATAATTCATCAAACATTTATAACAAAAGTAACTTCCAAAAATGTTTATGTTTAAAACCTTTTTAATATTTATAATAACGCAGAACAGTAAAACATAGTTGACACGTGCTTGCGAATGTGCAACGTATTGTAATAATAGTCGTCTTGATAAGGCATGTAAGGATAAAATAATCTTACAACCAACTTATAGGTACGGTTCGCTATGGCAAATCATACGTTTACATTACAGCGTAAATTGATCTTGAAGTTACCTTGAAATAACTTGTCGTAACATATTAAGTTAATTATGATGCTGAAATTAAATTAATTACAGTCGGCGATGGTACAATTATTGTGAACTTGTAGCTGCTTACGACTAAGTCCGCGTTAACTTTGGATTTTTGAGAATCCCACTTTAACATAACATTTTGCGAGTATAAAAAGTAGTCTATGTCTCAATCCAGGTCATCTATCTATATATATAAAACTCATAGGTGACTGACTGACATAGTGATCTATCAACGCACAGCCCAAACCACTGGACGGATCAGGCTGAAATTTGGCATGCAGGTAGATGTTATGACGTAGGCATCCGCTAAGAAAGGATATTGATCAATTCTAGCCCCAAGGGGATAAAATAGGGAATGAAAGTTTGTATGAAACTTTGTCAATTTTAAACCGATCGGGCTGAGAGTTTGCATGCAGGTATAAGAAGAATCATAGATGAATGTCATTGTGTATACAAGCCTGAGAACAAAAACTGTAGTCTACACTTCAGCTCTACACCGAAGCGAAGCGAGGGCGGGCCGCTAGTAAACTATATGCGTACCAAAATTCATCCTCATCCATCCAGTAGTTTTTGCGTGACTGGGTAACAAAAATGCAACCGTACAAACTTTCATATTTATATTATTAGTGGGATTAATTAGTTTCAACGATTTTAAAAATCAGACAATAGAAGATGAAGTTACACACAACTAATAACACCATAATTATAGCTTGGGAGAATCAGGTTATCTTACTACCGTGCTTCACCTTAGTAAGATAACTTTTCACAGTTCATTTAAAACCGAACCCAAATCACCCAAATTCTTTACTGTTACCATTGATAAACAAGTTTTGGGTATCCACGCTCAGGCATTATCGTATCATCTTCGATTGTAGACATATTATACAAACATATATCAGGAAGGTACCGTTAAACTTGATTTTAAGAACCAATCTGTTTTTATAATAAAGTTATTGTTGTTGCAGTTTTCATATATGGTGCATACTTAGGTGTAGACTATGGAACGAGAGCGCCATGATTTATATATATATGTAAAATTAGTACATTCCGTAACGCGTGAACAGGTTAAGACTTCCTCAAATTGTGGAAGTTTGTTGTATTAAAAAGGGTAAGAAATATTAAATAAAAAAGAAACAAAAAGGATAAATATCCGAATCACTAAATGCCTTACTTTTCTATAATTATATAAATACATAAGGTAAAACGATACTTTTAAATTCGTTATTTGATAAAACTAGTTTTAACGGGTTAATGCACGAACTATATTTATTTATTATTAAAATCATTATTCTGACGATGCATACCTGAAAAGGCTGCGAAACGTCAATAAATAAATAAAGTTCGTGCATTAACCCGTTTAAACTAGTTTTATTTAATGGAGTGATGTGCGTGAAAACCTAAGAAACAAATATCGTTATTTGATTCAAACAAATTTAGTTAATTAAATCAGAAATAAGTTGCTACAATCCGCTTATAACTACTTAGAACACGTTTCGAGAATGCATTTTCCTATGACTTTTGTTACAGCGCGGTAGAGTAGCCGGTTCGTGGATTTTGTACATTGTAGTTAGATGTTGATGAATGATTTATTTATCTATATCTAAAAATGTATTTTTATGATTTATTAAGTGGTTTAGTATCATATCTGTAAGTTTATTTTACTTTTTGCATTGTATAAATTTTCTAAGTTTTTTATCAAATCTAAAATACGGCGGCAAAACAAAAAATAATCCTTGAACGCGATCTCAGGCGCCTTTTTATCTTTTTGCACTCAGATTATTGTAATCATACCCATGAACAACGTCTTTAATTAAAAAATAATAATAACGAATAATCAAATTATTAATTAGCACTGCAGTAAAATATTTAACGATTATGCGGCTCCTCGATTCGTGACGTGAGTTCGGAGAAAAAAATTAAATATTTTTCATTGCTAAATTAAATATTGAGAACGGGAAATCTAAATTGGTTTCTTAACATTTGGTTACCACTACGATATTGCTATCACTGGGGCAAGTTCAAGGCAGGGTCCACGCGGCAATTAGGTAACCATTCTTGCAGACATGGGTTAGGAGGTCTAGTACCCATTGGACCCTCAAGATTCGACCCAAAAGCAAAAAGTGCCCATTGGACCTCTTTTTTGGTGTCCATTGGACCTTCTTAAAACATTTTATATTCAATGTGCCCATTGGACCTCTTTTTAAGTGCCTATAGGACCTTGGATGGGTTAGAATCTTGGTACCCCTTAATTTCAACTGATATGAGATTATGGTAAATTCGGTGGTTCCGTTAGTAATCTTTAGTTTTAGTTCAAGAGCAGATGAAATTAGAGAAGTACAATAATAATTTTTATATCGTTTGTGAAACGTTGAAAAACACAACTGGAACAATAGTGATAAAAACAATAGCAACAAAAAAAGCTATCCGGCTCCCCTTGTCACGCCAGTTTAAACAAACGAACGCCCACGCAGACGCAGGCGCAGACGCAGGCGCACGCGCAGGTAGCAAGAAGCACTTCGATCTAGACTTAAAAGAAACTAGACCGTTTGTGTCTCGTAGAACAAAGATTGGCACAATAAATATTAGAATGTGTCGGGTCAATGCCACAAAAAATTACGTTTTTGCGATGTCGCCTTGTAACTAACTGTTAGTGCTTTACTTAACAAAGTGTCACATATAAATTTCAGCACCTAGGTACGTGTCTATTGAGACGGAATGGAAACGATAAACGATATTGGTTTTCAAAAACAAAGAAACACATATTACTTGCTATAATTTTATTTGTGCTACTAGTGGCCCGCCCTCGCTTCGCTTCGGTGTAGAGCTGTAGTGTAAACTATAGTTTTTGTTCTCAGGCTTGTGCTATAAAGAATGACTTTATTTATATAATTACACGTGTTATTGTGAGTCAACCATAAAAGATAGACATATGCTGTTGCGGGATATTTTTTAAACAATTTTATGTAGAATATTTCCGTCATACATGATTTCTATGTAACTTTAACCATTAAGGCTGCACCCACGACGGAAGCTTAAAAAATGGAGTAACTTCTCCCGTTTTCCCAACATTTCCCTTCACTACTCTGCTGCTATTGATTGTAGCGTGATGAAAAGTATACTATAACCTGCCCAGGAGTATGAAGAATAATTGTACCAAGTTTCGTTAAAATCTGTCGAGTAGTTTTTGTTTCTATAAGGAACATACACACAGACAGACAGACAGACAGACAGACAAAAATTTTACTGATTGCATTTTTGGCATCAGTATCGATCACTAATCACCCCCTGATAGTTATTTTAAAAATATATTTCATGTACAGAATTGACATCTCTACAGATTTATTATAAGTATAGAAAATGAGTAAAATATTGCCTGCAAATTTTCAATCGTCTGCAACGTATTAATTAATGTTAATTTTATTTTAAATTCCCGATCTGTATTTATATATTCAATGACAATATTATATAGGGTATAATAAAAGATTTTATTTGTACGCTTTTAAATACACACATCCAAAAGATCTAAGCTAATTAATTGATGTTTAATATTGTTCTCGAAAATATAATTGGCTGATTTATAAAAACACATATTTACGATTGTGTTTATAAATAGTATAATAGCTTTAATATATTACAAAAGTTTAAATCGTTCAAAAGTTCAAAACTATACAACATGTTGCTTAATTTTTTTGGTTGAGTATATTTTCAAGTCAACAGATTTTTTGGTATTACCGATTTCAACTTTTGACATAAATTCAGCCAAACTATTTTTAGATAAGTCTGTATTATGCACCCATAATCTCTTTGGAGGCATAAATATTTAAAGTTTTGTTTTTAAGTTAATCAACTGTTTCTAAACATTGTCGTTACAGCAAGTGGTCTGGTTTTTTGTGGGTCAAATATAGGATATTGATATTTGAAAACGTGTGATGTTCAAAGTGTACATTACAACTTTTCCATAAGTATATCTTTAAGTGTTCCATCATTGTCTTCCGTATAAATAGTTAGTCAGTAAATAAGAATACATTAATATCAATGCAAACATTGACTGGAATTTGGAAATTTCCTCATTATCTGGAATATAGATGCTTATAATAGTCTTGGTAGATAAGGATAATGTTTCTAGTGTAATGATAGCACTTACGGTTGAAGTGTGTGGCACAGGTCGAGTCGTGGCAGGAGAGACAAGACTCCTTCCCGTCCAGGCTGAGATTGAGGGTAGGTGCGAGACTGGGCCGCGGACACAGCTTGCAGCCTCCGTTGTACTTCTCGCACAGGCACACGTTCTTCTCCAACCCCTCCACTTTGAGCTCGTTCAAGCCAAACTTCCCGCATTCCTCCTTCACTAAGGAAGCAGCGAACTTTCCACTCTGATGCAGGAACTCGCAAGAATGAGGACAGACATTGCACGTTCTCGACGCGTCCAAGTTCCTATTGGACTCAGTGTTGGCGTTGTCATTCTGATTGGTATCCAACTCCGGTATCTGGTAGTGTCTCTCGTCCTTCCTGCTGTCCATACTACCGGTCATGTACGAAGTCAGAGTCACCTCCGACGCCGACCTCACTGTATTGTTCAACTTGTACTTTGTCATCATTAGTACCCCGACCGAGTTCGTCAATATAAAAATTTAAAAAACTGTCTTGAACGCCGACGCTCGAGACATCTTATACTAATAACCGCATTACAGAAACTTTGTAAACTTTTTTATTTTGGAATTCACGACACTAAAGTTGTACCATTATCACAGATGGAAAAGGAATGCGTTATGCGAGTTTTGTGTTTGAATTTGTATCGTTCGTTTTGCGTGTCACTGGTTTTGCCGCGCTGCGCACGTGTAGAGAGTATGGCAGCCGGAGAAGAAATGGCGGGAAGCGATGGGTGGCTCCGGCGACCGCGGCGGCGAGAGCGGCTGAAAAAAGTAATTACAATCAGAGACCGGTGAGCGTAATAGATTCTGTGATGAAGGAATTTTTTGTGTACGCTGGAATATTCGCGGACAAGATTTTTCGCAGTTTTTACGGGCGAAACTGTCGATGCATTAACCTCGAGTTTTTTTGTTGCAAGTGTGTGTTAAGCTAGTAAAAGCTTGCCGTAATCCAACGTAGGTACTTCCTCAAACTAATATTGATAACAGTTTATTACAAGTTATTGAAATTTATTTGCAAATAAAAAGTAGCATAAAATGACGAGAGGCTTCTTACTACAAAATCAGCATATTTATGTAAAATTAAACATAATAAAATTTAATAACTGATTTTTTTTTTATATATTTTAAACTAAAAATAGCAAGAAAAAATAAAAAGGAAACCCGCCCGAACAGGGACTTGAACCCTGGACCCTTGGATTAAAAGTCCAATGCTCTACCGACTGAGCTATCCGGGCTTCGATATAGGAGTGCGAAATAAGCGAACACTTCCCAGAGGTGGTTTGGAATACATAACGTCGCAATTTAAAAATAGAGCGTGCTTTTTTTTTTCTTTAATGGTAATTTTATTCTTTTGTTGTTAATACAAAAGATGAGTTATTATTATTCATTGTTTAAATATTAACTAAATATGCATATATATATGTATAACTTAGTGTGTGTGTGATAAATCATTTATATTGATAGTATTTACGTAAATATATTTAACGAAATCATGAAGTGACAATTTAATATGTTAAGAATTTTGTAAAATAATAGATGAGATAAAAAACATCTATTCTAACGTAAAGAGTTTTTTGGTTCTCTGTTAAGGGGGAGCAAAATAGCTCTTTAATTACTAGGAACTAATAATGATTTGAATTAAGAACGTGGGTATTGTTTGTAAAAGACCCAATCACCAAAGAGATCAATCACGTCAAGAGACCAAACATCAGACACGGGCTGTATAAAAACAAACCGCGCACTTGTCAAATAAAAAAAAATATGAAAAAATGTTTTAATACATTGACGAGTTGGGAATATCTTTCGAGGGATACATACATAAGGCTTTTTAATATACATACGAGGAAAAATTAGGCAAATTCTTAAGTTAAAATTTATATTGCAGTTATTTTTAATAATAATATAAGTCACTTAGCGTGGGTTGTACTAACTTACTTTAGCGTGAACTGTTATGTCATGTCTTTGTAAAATTTAACTTTAAATTTAACTTAACGGTACTGTGGTGCAACTCACACTTAATGCAATACCTGGAAGCTGTTATTGGTTTCTTGTTTTCACGGGTTTTTGTTAATTCCAGCGATGTCGATAAATCTTCATTTTAAGGGCGAAGCCAAACGAGCGTAAATTTTTGATTTTTAAGTCGCGTTATTTAAACTACATTCGGTTTCATAGAAAAGTCCTGTTTAATTTATCTCAAAATGGGTCCCGACTGTTAAATTAGCATTGTCCCTTACCTCTCTGGATTGTTTACAACCTTGCTTTTTGCTTTTTCATTTATTTAAACCTAATTTTTAAGACAATCCGGTCTTATGATTGCTATATTTACTATTTTTTACGTTAACTTAAGGAGTTGGGTTTTTTGGGCAGCCTTTATTTATTTTATAAATTTTATTATTTTTTACTTTCAATAAAGAGGTAACATTTTAAGTCACTCCGGTTTTAGGACTGTTTAATATTTTTTTGTTTTTTTTACATTATCTTAGAAGTTTGATTTTTAACAATTTCTAGGGACCGTAGATCTGAGTATGTGGTATTAACCCTAATAAGAATAAAACACTTTCCAATCAGGTATGGTATAAAATCTCTATTTGATGCCTTGAATGAATTATTATGTAGTGCCTAGTTGGCCCCGATTATGTATTGTGCCCACCAGCTTCATTGACATAGGCAAATAAATTCTCTTAAATGCCAATTAAATCCAACTAAACAGCTTATTCGCTAATAAATAGTGACCTTTTTTTATTTGAAAACAAACATTTGATGACTACGTTTACGTAAGTATGAAAAGATCTCGATAACTTGAATTTTTTTATGCTTAGCTTAATTTTGAAATTGTTTTCTCAAAGACGTTATTTTTCTAATTTAATTTAATGTTTCTTATACTGTAATTAAATAATCTTTCAGTTATAAATTGAAATTAACATTAGTATTTTCACAATGTTTTTTTATCAAGCAAACCATAAATGAGTCGATAGTCATTTGGGACATGGACCACTGGTCCTGATGGGGACATGGAATTAATCACTACATAGTATAATAAAACAAAGTCGCTTTCTCTGTCCCTATGTCCCTTTGTATGCTTAAATCTTTGAAACTACGCAACGGATTTTGATGCGGTTTTTTTAATAGATAGAGTGATTCAAGAGGAAGGTTTGGATGTTATTATACATATAACATCCATTAAATAGTGGAGAAGTGCTGTTATTTTTGAGGTTTCTAATGTAAGGTCGTAAATATAATCATTTTTTTGCGCTTACATTGCAAACGCTGGCTGAATCCAACGAGATAGATCAAAATAATGTACTACAGTATTGTACACCTTAAAAAGGTCTACAAAAAAGTCCGCGATGGTATATGCCTATCTCTTTGGTATAACCCACAATAACCATTTTTTAATTACTTATTACGAGAAAATAATGGCTTATTTACGAACAAGCGATTTTAAGCAATACAGCATTAATCCTTTTCCAATTAAGTACCTTAAATACATTGTGCGTGTAATATAGATCAATATGGCCCTTTACAGCATGTAATTTAAATGAATATTTTCGAAGATATTACAGATTTAAAATGCAGGAACATACCGGTTCGGGCGGTACTGGCCGGGGGGCCGGCGCGGCGGCGGCGGCGCGTGTCTTTAGTAATTAGGTATTTAAAGAAAGTCATTGTGTTTAATAGAAGCCTGAGAACAAAAATATAGTCTAAACTACAGCTCTACACCGAAGCGAAGCGAGCGCGGGCCACTAGTAAATTATTATAAGGCGGCATTCGGGACCGAAGCTAGTGGTCCCGAATGACACCTATGTTTAATGATTATTTTGCTCAATAGAGAGTCGGTTCTTCAGTATTGTGGCTTAAATATTGTAGACATGCAATTGTAGGTTACTTCGTGTCAATTGACGACCTCCGTGGCTGAGTGGTTTGTACGCTGGGTTTCATGGTGTGGCAGACTCGAGAGGTACCGGTTTCAAATCTCGTTAGGGGCAGATGTTTGTGTGATGAATACGAGCATTTTTACTTCAGTCATGAATGTTTTAATATACATTTCTTTGTAAATATCTATATTATATCTTCTATAATTATATATAAAACTCAAAGGTGACTGACCACTGGACGGATCGGGCTGAAATTTGGCATGCAGGTAGATTTTAAGACGTAGGCATCCGCCAAGAAAGGATTTTGATCAATTCTACCCCCAAGGGGATAAAATAGGGTATGAAAGTTTGTATGAAACTTTGTCAATTTTAAACCGATCGGGCTGAGACTTTGGATGCAGGTATAAGAAGAATCATAGATGAATGTCATTGTGTATGATACAAGCCTGAGAACAAAAACTGTAGTCTACACTACAGCTCTACACCGAAGCGAAGCGAGGGCGGGCCACTAGTACTTATATAAATGTTTTGTTCGGCGCTAGATTTATTTGACACAAAAAATGTTTACGTCTGCGCAGGGTGCGACTGGTTTCATACTGGTTCTTTATAGAAATCAAACGTGTGTTATTTGTTTTTCATCCCACCACCTCGGAAAGTGTAATTTTGCGCTTCGAAATCTGGCTGGAAAATTCTATTTTATTCGCTTGAGCGGCAAAGTAGATTTGAATTTAGAACATCACATATAATGAGTACTCAATATAATTGTAAATTCAAAACGTCATTAAACCTATTTAATGTAACCTCTATGGTGCCAAATTTATGATTAGAACTTTTTAAATTGTGAAAAAATTTAAATTTGGAACCTTCTTGGTTTCTTTGTTTTATTTGCGTGCTTCGCGCCATTCTAGTTTTTCACGTTTTATTGCTTAATATAATTAACATAACCTAAAAACTGTACAAAAAAATCAACTAAAATGAGTGACATTAGCGACGATGAAGTTTATCTAACGCCAACTGAGTTAACTGAAACAGTTAATAATGCGCAAATGAGCCTTCTCCCTCAGCAATCACGAGAGAAGTATTTGAAACAGTACGATATATTTAACATGTGGCGACTAGCTAAAGGAGCAAAAACTTTCTCCGAAAACGTTTTGCTGGCATATTTTATAGAATTATCTGAGACCAAGAAAGCAAGCACGCTATGGAGTACGTATTCAATGCTAAAATTAACAATTAAGATGAAGAAAGACGTTCATATCGACACCTATCATAAATTAGTGGCATTTTTAAAAAGAGCCTCATCTGGTTATAAACCAAAAAAATCGAAGGTTTTCACAGCATCTGAAATTGCAAAGTTTATTAATGAAGCACCTGATTCCGTATATTTAGCGGCAAAAGTAAGTCAATACGTGTAATTTTTTGTTGTTGATAAAATTGTACATAGTACTTACAATATTTTTAATTTGATTAATTTATTTACGATTATAAATACTTCTTTTGTTACAGGTTGTTCTTATTATTGGTATAACCGGAGCATGTCGAACAAATGAACTTACACTACTTAATGTCAATAACGTATCAAAATATTCTCATAATTCTGATGAATTGCTATTAATTAATGTACTAAATACCAAGACAAAAAAAGACCGCAACTTCGTTATTCGCAAGGAATATGTAAACATTGTTCAGAAATATCAAGCTTTACGTCCTTCTAACACCCCAATTGAACGATTTTTTCTACAATATCGCAACGGAAAGTGTATCCGACAACCTATGGGTCAGAATAAAATTGGCAGTATTCCACGAGAAATAGCAACTTTTCTCGGACTTTTAGAACCCCCGTTATACACCGGTCACTGTTTTAGAAGAACCTCAGCCACACTTTTG